TTGCAGAATCTTGGTGTCAAATGACTTAAGACTATCAAGAATATAAAACAAAGAGGATAAATGTAAAGCATATTCTTCATTGTGAATTACAAAAACGAAAACCTAAACGTAGAAGTCAAAACTGATCGATGCAATGGAAAGTGCCGTGCAAGGATTTATGCTAAATGTTTATAAATTTATATTACCCTTCTATGTTCTTTTTTTCTACAATTTACATATCGTGCAAGGTAGCACTTGGAATTTTGATGACAAGTGATAACGACTTCGTTACAGTTTATCCAAAAAAAAAAAGCGTGTTGCTTATTAGATATAAATCATATAATATTTATGTAACCATTTGTTACTTCAATTGATAAGAGCAATGAGTCTTCTTCTTTGAATCCTATTTACATGCATATGAAACTCAAACTATATAGTTTTGGGACCAACTTTTGTAGTAAGGTGTATTTCACTATGTAATCTTTGAAGTTACAGAGTTGAGGGATATGGTTTGCAACATATTTATGATTGTTAGTGCATGATTTTTTTTCTTTCTGAAACTGTTGTTGGTGCATCTTACCATGTCTTGTATATTCTTGTTTGAGTAGTTAAACGCACAATATTTGAGTTGAGATGTATAACTATGTAAACGCTCTAGTTCGTACCATAAACCATTTTTCCAGAAAAAAACATTAATTGATATTTTTTTCTCAAAACAAACATTAATTGATCTATTTGATTAAACTCATGAATTAATAGTCATAGTACAAATTACGAAAACATAATATTATGGGGGAATATATAATCTCATGGGCATCGAGGGTTACGTCCTGGTCCTCCATAGAAAAAGTAAGTTCCCCACCTCTGGCTAGAGCCAACGTTGAGGTTATAACATTCAGGCCGAGTAACGGAAGTTTGAAGAGAGTCTAGAGCGGGTGTGATTGGATGTTTATATCCACCAAGGTACTCTAAGGTATGGAAAAAAGCCGCTTTCTTAAACCCTTCCTCTGCGAAATGGCCACTCCCCATTTGCGTAAGCGTGTGTGCCCCACCGTCTCTAGCGTGATACTGAATTTCACCTCCCCATGCGATCTTTCGTGCTGAGTTTTCTAGCTCTCGGACTATTGAGCTTGGCCAATACCCGACTAGGTGTGTCTGATACTTGAGCCACCAATGTCCAGTAATTTGTTCCTAAAACG